GTTGATGTCCATAAAGAAGTAAGCCAAATCAAGTTGGTACGATAAGGTTGGCCAAATGGTGAACTTTAAACATCAAGCAACATTGACCTAACAAACTCATACTCCTTGCCAACCTCCATCTCTTAATTCGTATTGAACACTTCAAATAAAAATCCTAATTTGTAGAAGTTAAGTAAATTGTTGCAAACGTGTGGAACTTGATAACTAGGTTGAGAGGTCTATGATGAGTTCATCTCAATTTGGTAACTTGCTCGAGCGCTATATATGTTAATAACTAGTTAATTATTGGTGATGATGACCTAACCTATATTTATCATTAATCATGCAATGGGTCAAGTAGAAAATGCATGAGATTCCTCATATAACAAAGGTCGGTTTTACCATAGAAAATAATTTGTACATATACATGCCTAGTGTCACAATCGCACTCTTGCGGCGGTGGGATAACGATTGTGTGGCACTTGTTCTAACTTAGTGAGCAAGTCAATCGTGAGAAATTCGGACTTCGTGGACAACGTCGAGATTTGCTCGAGTATCGAATCACGTTTAAGAGAAAAGTTTTGGAAACAATGAATATGACAACATATAATCTGGGTAAGAAGAAGTGACGACTAGTCATATCTCCTATAGTACATTTTAAGGCATTTTAGCCCTAGCGGGTGTAGACATGATTTTGGTGACTGGTCATGCCCCTTTGTATTGACACGCATGAAAGAGTAAATACCTATCTAAGATGAAAAGGGTTGGTAATGAGCATGCAGCCTTGGACAAGCATGATCAAGACATGCGGCATGTCTCCAGCAACACGCCTTGGACAAGCATGACCATGACATCCTCCCTCATTCAATTGGTTCACGTCTCTATCAAACGACTCTTCATGAACTCAACGATGTAGGTTGAGGCCGACTTCAGGTCTCTCAACGCGCTTTCAGCTAATCTCAACATTGAGGAGTGTCTTCCAATCTGCAAGAAACTGTTGAAAACCACTTATCAATTCATTGACTCCTGTCGTCTTCTCTATTGGAGTCTCTCGTATTTTCTTCACTTGGAAATTCTTCTTTTTTTCCTGACGTCGTGTCGCCTCTTTATGCTTGACGTCTTCTTGGTCGGGATAGTAACATTTTAAGTTACTAACGTGGACAATAGAGCTAGTCCGTATCCATGGGAGCAATTGGATCCTATATGATCGATCTTGTGGATAACTTCGATTGGTTCATAGCATTTTCGCACAAGTCTTTGATTCTTGTTGTTTTGATCTCAAAGTTGAACTAACCTCAACTTGATCAGAACTCTCTCTCCGTCTTGAAACTGTAGTGGCCAACGCTTCTGACTGATCCTTCACCTCATTCGTCTGGATGGTACTTCTGTGTGAACATGTATTATTTTAGAGGTCTTGAAACTAAGAGCGGAGTTCTTGTTTCAAACTATCCTAAGTGTCCACAATAGATCAACCATTTTGAATGTCTACATACCTTGAACTCTGCCACAACTTTGCATTGTTGACTAGACACATTGTTGCAAACCTGACCTTCGCTTCTACCACCACAGTATTTGTGACTCGAAAGTATTATTTGAGGTCAAAGATAAGGTTCTCTAATGTCTTGGCATCTTGAAACCCGCAGTAGTGCTTGGGCACCGAAACCTTTATCTTGTTAAATTCTATTACACCCTCAGTTGGGGTTTGGTTCCCCAACCTTCTCATGGTCAGGTTTAACCTAGCACTTAAATCCACCAATTCATCCCTGTCCACTCGTAAGGCTGCTCTCAAATTCTCAGACATTTCTAAAACCATCTGAACGATCACTTGTTGAGTTTTGTCTAAGCCTTCGACGTGTTCTTCCATTCAAGCAACAAATCCTAATTGTTAATTCGTAGACAGACATTGTCTCAAGACAGCCTGCCATCTCATCAATCATGTCGACTTTAGCGGCAATCTCATTCATGCGAGACTCCAAAAGCCTCGTTCCGTGGGAACTTCACTTATGCAAAGTAACTGCTCTTCGATTCAGCCAATCAGGTAGCCTAGGACGTGCCCAGTTGTTTTGCAGTGGACATATTTGTGTCACAATCGCACTTTTGTTGCAGCGGGACAGCGATTGTGCTACACTTTTTCTAACCTAGTGAATCAATCGTGAGAAATTTGGACTTCGCAGACAACATCAACATATGCTCGAACCTCAAGTCACGTTTCAGAAAAATATTTTGGAAAACGTGAGCAAGGAAATATGTTTGAAAACAATTTGAAAGAAAACTACACAATGACTTTGATAACAAACCTTGGTAGGAAGAAGTGATGACTAGTCATATCTTGTACATTTTGGGGCATTCTAGCTCTAACATGTGTAGGATGATTTTGGTGAACAGTCATACACCCCGTATTGACACAACATGAAAGTGCAAAGACTTATCTAAGATGAAAGCATGTAAAAGAAGTTTAGAACGGGCATGTGGCCATGGACAACATGTCCTGTACAAGCATGACTGAGACATCTGACATGCGGCCATAGGCAACACATCTTGAACAAGCATGACCATAAAATCCTCCTCCACTCAATTGGTTGACGTCTTTGTCAACTGAATCTTCGTGAACTCAACGATATAGGTTGAGACTAATTTTAGGTCACTGTCAATTGGTTGACGTCTCGGTCAATCGATTTCAACATTCAATCTGCACAGAACTTTGAAAACTACTCTTCTCCGGTAAAACTTAAACGAAAAATACAATCCAATTATATCAACTATTTAATAAATTTGTGTAAGTGACAATAACATGGTTATATATAAAATATAAAAATGACACAAAATTAAATTAGAAAAAGTTATATAATATTAACAGTATAACTTTTCGTTTCATCAGTGTGACAATGACATAAACATATTATAAATCTTAGATTTAGTGGAAAATATGAAACAATAAATTAAATTAAAAATCCCAAATAAAAAGCAGTTGTCTTAAAATTTAAAAAGGTAGCTGAGTTTTATATTTATCATTAACTTAATTAAGAAAGTAATTATAAAACATTTGAATATAAAAATAAAAAAATAAAATAAAAAAGGGGGAAAACTTTAGAAGAGGGCGGCGAAAGCGATTGGAATATGGTGTTGACAATAATGGTGGGAGAAGGCCTATGTTCTAATTACCAAACTATCCTCACTTATTTTCATCATAATATATATATATTATATATAATGCACGACATTAATTAATCACTACCACTTCTTTCGTTTCAATTAAGAGATTTTCTTCGATTCAGTTTGATCACATAAGTGGGAGTATTAGAAGAAGTCGTAAAAGTAAGTAGAATTTATCGTTTGTTACTACTCAAGGATGTTGTATGTTAGCTGGGACGAAGCGGCATTAGAGCTTTAATCATAGAATGGAGTAAAGAGTGCTTTCACTTCTACTTCTAACTAAATGCGAACAGTAGACATTGTAAGTAAATAGGGATTCCCAGCTCGTTTGAGTTGCAAAAACACCGCTTATTAAATAAAATTGTTGAATTTTAAAATTTAAAATGTAATCTAACCAAAATTATTTATGTTATTTAAAAAATTGAAACATAATTTTAAAAAATAATAAAATGTTTATATAGTAGCAAATAACATGTGGATAGCTTTTTGAATAGGGATATAGACCAAGCAGGATTGGTATGAAAAGGAATCTTTTTTGTGGAGATTGGTGCATCCCTATTCCCTACTTATTAATAATAATAATATTATTATTATTATTATTTTATTCTAAACCTAACCCTAAAGTTGAGATTTTGAGGTATGATTCTATAATATTTTGAATACAACCCTTGCTCTTTCACAAAGCAACTAAATTGAAATGATATATTTTAAAAATGTTGTCTCGTATATTCAAGCATCGACCCATTATTTATATATATAATATGAAACTATAAAAGTATTAGGCGTGTTCAAACAATTCGATCGAGTTAAAATTGAACTACTCGAATTTATTGTTAATTTTACAATATGCATTTTTTCTTAAGATATAATAAAGATTGTTTGGGTTGAAATATTGACAATTCGAATGATTGGATCTAAAAGACGTTTCAGCTCGACCCAACTTAACCTATAAATATCCTTAAAACGAAGATGAACGATGAAAGAAAAAACAAACAAAAGAGTTTTGGTAGAAAAGATATAAATAAAATTTATATTAAAGGTAATAAGAGTTGGGGAATATTATGATTTATAGTAATTGTTATTTGACAATTAATTACTATACTGAAAGGAAAACTTCAACTGGACTAAATGGGTTAAGTTTTGAATTTGTAGGGACGTAATAGCAAAACTCAAAAATTATAGGGGAGAAAAATGCAAATAAAAATGAAGAATTTTGGGGTGGGAAATAAAATCCTAAATAGCAAAGGGGAATCCAGGATTGTTCGGACAAAAATAGAAGCGGAAAATAAAATAATTGAGAAAAAAAATATATTAAGAAAGAAAAGGAATGGCGGTGAAGCAAAAATCAAGAAGAAGGGGGGAGGGGGGCCCACAGGAGGGAATAGGAACACGTGTCAGAGCCATATGGAGGGAGACTGGAATCTGGTACAGGTTGTACTAGCGTAACTTTAAAGAAAGGGTTCTCTAGGAGGTATGGTAATGGTGTGGGGGCAACGCCGTAGTGCGCGCTGTCAGTTGAGTTGGGCCTTTTGCGTCAGAAACCCAGTGGGCCCTCGGCCCATTCCCGCATTTTAGATTTTCTTTTCTTTTTTTATTTTTTACCTTCCGAAAATAAAATATATATAATTATTTATTCTTTTATCCCAAAAGAAATTAAAAATAATGAGTTGAGGTTGGAGGGTATTAATTTCCCCCCCGAAATTTAGGAATAATTTAAATATTAAAAGACAGAGAAAAGAGAACTAGTTGGGTAACGGCGTCAGATTGGACGGCTGGATTAGCGAAATTTGACGGACGTTAGAAATGACGTTGACAGGCGGGGGGTGGGGGGGGCCATTTGGTCAATTTGGTCTCCTTATTGTTATGTAGGGCAGAACGGGCCGCGAGAAGCTCTGATTCAATCATTCAGAAGATGCGGGTTCACACCATTTTCCTTTGATTCTCTCTCCTTCTTCCCCCATTTTTCTACCCAATCTCCACCGTCTAAACCCAACCCTTTTTTCCTCCTCCGCCACCGCCGCCGTTTCTACACACGATGAAGAGGGAGCATCACTATCTTCATCCTCGTCCGGAGCCGCCTTCCGTGGCTACTGGCTCTAATCGGGAGAGTTATTTGAACACTGGTAAGGCTAAGCTCTGGGAGGAGGAGGTACAGCTCGACGGAGGAATGGATGAGCTTCTTGCTGTTTTAGGTTACAAGGTTAAGTCGTCGGATATGGCGGAAGTTGCACAGAAGCTCGAACAGCTTGAAGAAGCTATGTGTCAAGTTCAGGATACTGGCCTTTCGCATCTCGCTTTCGACACTGTTCATTATAATCCCTCTGATCTGTCGACTTGGGTTGAAAGTATGCTCACTGAGCTCCATCCGCCCCCTACCTCGCATCTGGACGATTCATCGTTTTTAGCTCCGGCGGAATCCTCCACCATCGCTAACGTTGATTATGAACCTCAACTGCAAACCAGCAGCAGGATTTTCGAGGAGTCTTCTAGTTCGGATTATGACCTTAAAGCTATTACGGATAGCGCGATTTATTCACCGAGAGAGAGTAAGCGTTTGAAAGCCTCCGAGTCGGACACGGATGTGTTCTCCACCTCCGCGATTGGGGCTTCTAATTTTGCAACTCGCCCAGTTGTTCTCGTCGATTCGCAGGAGAACGGAATTCAACTGGTTCATGCTCTGATGGTTTGTGCTGAAGCCGTACAGCAGAATAATCTGAATCTAGCGGAGGCTCTGGTTAAGCGAATCGATTACTTAGCGGTTTCTCAAGCCGGAGCGATGAGGAAAGTCGCCACGTTCTTCGCCGAAGCATTAGCACGCCGAATCTACAGGCTCTGCCCTGAGAATCCCCTCGATCGTTCAGTGCTCGATATGCTTCAGATGCATTTCTACGAGAGCTGTCCCTATCTGAAATTCGCGCATTTCACCGCGAATCAAGCGATTCTCGAAGCCTTCGAAGGGAAGAAGCGTGTTCACGTCATCGATTTCTCGATGAACCAGGGGATGCAGTGGCCGGCTTTGATTCAAGCCCTAGCTCTACGACCGAGCGGTCCTCCTACCTTCCGACTCACCGGAATCGGCCCTCCGGCGCCGGATAACTCCGATTACCTCCAAGATGTGGGCTGGAAGCTCGCCAAATTCGCTGAAACCCTCCATGTGGAGTTCGAATACAGAGGATTTGTAGCGAACAGTTTGGCAGATCTGGACGCATCGATGCTGGAGCTCCGGCCGAGCGAGGTGGAGTCGGTGGTAGTGAACTCGGTGTTCGAGCTGCATCAGCTACTGGCTCGGCCGGGGGCAATTGAAAAGGTTCTGTCGGTGGTGAAGCAGATGAAGCCGGAGATCGTGACGGTGGTGGAGCAGGAAGCGAACCACAACGGTCCGGTTTTCGTGGAACGATTCACTGAGTCACTCCATTACTACTCGACGCTGTTTGACTCGTTGGAGTGCTCCCCCAACAGCCAAGACAAGATGATGTCGGAAATGTACCTTGGGAAACAAATCTGCAATGTGGTAGCTTGTGAAGGTGCCGACCGAGTGGAACGACACGAAACCCTGACTCAGTGGCGCACTCGGTTATCCTCCGCCGGGTTCGATCCCATCCACCTCGGCTCAAACGCATTCAAGCAAGCGAGTATCCTCCTCGCCCTGTTTGGCAGCGGCGAAGGGTACCGGGTAGAAGAGAACGAGGGATCACTAATGCTGGGATGGCACACCCGCCCCCTTATCGCCACCTCCGCCTGGAAACCCGGCAACAACCCGGTGGTCGCTCACTGAGTCAATTCCACTCAGTGGACCGAGTCAGGTCAAGAATGAAACAGGACTGACTGTCAGCTTGACAGAGTGACCCACCACTCGCAAATGTGGCCATCACTTTTGCCTGTCATCCTGACCCTTCGGCTTCCCGCCCTTCGTCTTAGTTTGGTGGGTATCATATGAAGGGCTCTTCTGTAGTTCTTCTGAGTGGTAAATTTCGGAAGAAGAAAAAGGATTTATGTATTTATGTTTATTGAATTAAGTAGTAAATAAATGTGGAAATGAATTAATTAGATTGGTGGGAATAAAAAGAAAAGGAGAAGGAAGAACAAGAGGGTGTTTTGGATTAGTTAGTTAGTGGTTCAATGAATGATGTGAGCTTTTCTTTCTTTGTTTCAAACACAGTTTCCTGCCAACTCATCCACTTTTTTCAGTGTTTTCAAAGCATCTTCACCACTTACGTACTTACCCAAATGGGGGAAGAATTGAAGTACGGAGCTTAGGATTATGAGGGTTTGTAGTAATGAAATGATAGTCTCCTTTACTGGGTTTGTAGGAGTGGGATTCTGGCATTGTCTCTTAATTCGCTATGTACATTGAGTAACTCTTGTTGCTTGGTTCGAATGTGTAATGTATGTTCTTGACTGTGTATGCATATCGAATATTTTCAGTTGAGCAGCTTTGTGCATCTTGATCAGGGTGTTGTTGGGAGAACAAGTTTTCTGAAGAGAGAATTTTGGTGAGGTAGTAAATGCCAGAACACAACTAGTAAGCAGTTTTACTTTGCTGAGAAAAAGCCCATCTCCATCCAGATAATACGAGTTATGTCACAAAAATGCTATCAAAAATCGTTCAAGTTACAAAAGATATGGCTTTAAAGTCTCACTAAGCTTGAGTTTTCATAGTGAATATAAATATTTTAGAAACAAAGATATCTAAATATCCCACAAACAAGCTACAAATCTTGAGAGATGAATCTAAAAACAATAACAGTGAGATTTCACCTCGATTAGAGAGAGAAACAAGTGTTAGCAAAGACGTTGGGTCTCAAAGGAGGTCGACTGTGAGATCGGTTGAAGAGGGAATCTAACCATTTTTTATAACATCTTGGAAACATCTCCCTAACATATAGTTTTTAATTTTTTTTAGGAAACCGAGAAAAGAAAAAGTTCAAAAATGACAATATTTATGAGAGTAAAGTTAGATCATTACAGTAATATTATCATTTCATCATATTAGCCCATCGCTAAACTCTAAGATAAAGCAATCTATAAAGCTTTGAATTTAGGCTTAATAATCTCCCGATCCTCGCACAAATCCACGAAGTATATTTTATTTTTATGTTAAATTTACATGTTTTATGTACATAAAAGTATTAACATATCAAAATATATGTTAAAAATTGGGATATTTCATCAACCAAATCAGATAGATTGTGATGATCAAAGTGTAATCCTTTCTTTTTCAAAACGACTGTCTGTCGGATTATTTCTTTATGCCTACACTTGTCAAAGCCAAGTTGTCTAAAAAATATACTAATTGTTAAATCTTTTTATGTTGGTTATATATTTTCAATGTAATTGTTGTTTCTTATTCATGGCTAGCTATAACACTCCTTCCTTAAAACTATTTTAACCTTATTTTCTAAAATTGTTTTCCAATGGCGAAGACAAACGATTAAGTATAAGTCATTTGTGTCACGCTATATTTGGTAAATGACATATAAAATAATTGTTATAAATAGTAAATAACTATGCATAGTAAAGCTATATATATATATATATAGATATGATAGATAGCTATATAGATGATTATAGTTGGTAAAATTATATATACTAAGCTAAACCATATATATATATTCCTCATGGCTTTGAAATTTTACTTTCTGTATTCTCTATTACTGTACATGCCTAAAGTCATCAATATAAACTTTTAGCGAGAGTTCTCCTTCTATTTTCTCTGTCTTGTTCTTTGTGTTCATCTAGACCAAGTGTGCGTTGTTGAGTGATCCTAACATAAGTTTTAGTTGGCTGATTTATTTGAGAGTAAAAGTGTTGCATAATCGCAACGTGTCGTAGCCTCATGGAGAGAAAGTAGGTTGTAACCTCCACACGCAAGATAGACATGGGGCGACCCTTAAGTGGCACCCATCTAGCCACAAGAAGGTCAAGATTGAGAATTTTCGTGATGCGGTTGAGGACGGTGCATCCAACACACCAAGAGTGCATTCACGCTAAGTTGACGCATATGCAAGTTCGAGAGAACGAGGCAACATGAATGTTGAAGACATGCTTGAAGAGGGTTGGGTAAGAACCTAGGCCATAACTTCAGAAGCTAAGGGTTTCGATATAAGTTTGGCATTCAACTCTGGAGTTAAGTATGTCTATTTGAAATATGAAAATCCACCAAATTTTGTGTCAATCAGATACTTGATGGGCGTTGCACGGAGTTGTATGACTACTCGCCAAAATAATGTCTACTCGAGAAAGATTGTAAATGTCTC